CAGACACATTGAGGACAGTTCTCAGCTTGAAACAGCATCAGTCCAAGGGCACTGCAGCTGTGACAGTGCCACGGTGCCTCTGCCATCAAGCCGGACGGAATCAGGCTACAATTATTGTGACTAATGCAATATGGTAGGAGTGAAAGGGCCTGTGGCTTTTTGTTTCCCTCTGATTTCATGTGCTTGGAATTCAACAATGGGCTTAAAAAAAAAAATCTTTGATCAAACTGTAGCTCTGTATTAGGAACTTAATTCGAAACATTTTTCTCCACTTGCATATTGAATTTTGCAATATAATTGCCTCAGACCCGAGTAATCTCATATTCAAGATGAAACAGTGCTTGGTACGTAGCAGGTATTTCACAATTTTTTTTTTTAATGAATTACGGAGTGTCACAGAATAAAATACATTTTGTGCCTTTGTGTTAAAGAGTGAGAAATATCAGAGATAATAGTTAAGAAACTGATGAAACCAACCCAAAGAGCTGACCGTCATTAACAATAGAGACAGAGGACTTCTCCAGAATGTTCTATTGCATTTGGAACCTCTTCACGCTTATCAAGTACAGAGGTTGGAAATTAGATCCCTTTAAGACTTGTGTTCTCTGTAAAATCTTCCTAAATTTGGGCATGTACCTTTTAAAGGCTTCAGAAGTTTCCAGTAGCAGCATTTTTCTCTCTCCATTACCTGTGTATGCCCATCTACATATTTTTAGTTTTGTCTTTGTGTTTTATTTAAAAGCTGTTATAAACATGAATTATAAATGTATAAATATGCCAGCTAGGTGCTGATGAAAAAAATAGACTCAAAATTTAGCTCTGCTGCCAATGTCCAGTGGTGGGCTTGCCAGAAGAGCAGTTGATGTTTTGCAGGGGCTGTCGGGATTGATTCCTGGCACTGGACACTGACTGAAAAGGCTGCTTGTGATTTTTCCTCCTGATGTTCCTATAACTGCTGCAGCCTTGTCAGGTTTACCTGAGAATGACTAAGACTATGCTTTCTGGGGAGTTGAAACTATTGATCACACTGAGAATTTCATGTTCTTGCTGGGTCGATATTTCCCTTTGGGTGGAAAGCCCTGAAGTTTTATTTTAGACCTGAGGAATTTCTGGCTACTTTCATAAAATGGTAGAGAGAAAAAACCTCATTTTTTTTTTTCAGGAGAAATAGAGGCATGGGAGGTTTTGGTTTGGTTGAACATATTGTGGAAAAGAGCAGACAATGACATGTCTACTCACTGGCATTTTATGGGACTCTGGATTAGTCAGGAACTGCCTTTTACTGGAGTACTCATATGGTAACCAAGAAAGTCCTAAGACACAGGAGCTCTGACTTCATCTTCACATGACTTTCAATGAGATGAAGACCAACGTTCACTAAGGATCTGGCTGGATGACCCTGCAACCCTAGTTGGAATGAAGATGATCGTGTACCCGAGTACTACTACAAATGTAGTCCTCAGGCCAGCAGCCTAGACCTTACCTGGGAACCAGTTAGAAACACAGAATTCAGAATCTGTACCTTAACAAGATCCCTAGGTGATCTATAGGTATATAAAAGTCTGTTCTAGAATAGTCTTCTCAAATTTCAGCCTGCATCACAGTCACCGAGGGGGCTTATTAAAAGATTATGGGGAACACCTGGGTGGCTCAGTTGGTTGAGCTTCCGACTCTTGATTTTGGCTCAGATCATGATCTCAGGGGATCCCTGGGTGGCACAGTGGTTTGGCGCCTGCCTTTGGCCCAGGGCGCGATCCTGGAGACCCGGGATCGAATCCCACGTCGGGCTCCCGGTGCATGGAGCCTGCTTATCCCTCTGCCTGTGTCTCTGCCTCCCTCTCTCTCTCTCTCTCTCTCTCTCTCTCTCTCTCTCTCTCTGTGACTATCATTAAAAAAAAAAAAAAAGATCATGATCTCAGGGTCTTGAGATCAAACCCTGCAGAGTCAGCTTCTCTTTCTCCCTCACCCACTTGCGTTTTCTCTCTCTCTCTCTCTCTCTCTCTCTCTCTGTCTTTAATAAATAAATCTTTAAAAACATAGAGATTTATGGGCCACACCCCAAACTTTCTGATTCATACGCCTCAGGGAAGCCCAGAAGTCTATATTTTTAACAAGTCCCCAGAAGACACCAAGGTTTCTGGTCATTCCCACCCTTTGAGAAGCTCTGTTCTACTAGAACCGTTGTCCTGCCACTTCTCTGCAAGGAGGAGAATTTTCTAGAGCCCTTGAGTACTCCACTCCTGGCAGAAAGCCTTGAGGATAAGCCCTGAAAACCTGTGATTTTAAATTTTTTTTTAAGATTTATTTATTTATGATAGAGAGAGAGAGAGAGAGAGGCAGAGACACAGGAGGAGGGAGAAGCAGGCTCCATGCTGGGAGCCCAACGTGGGATTCGATCCCGGGTCTCCAGGATCGTGCCCTGGGCCAAAGGCAGGCGCCAAACCGCTGAGCCATCCAGGGATCCCCAAACCTGTGATTTTAAATACAAGTTCTGACATATTCTAACGTAACTAGTCCCAGCCCTCCTGAGTAGTTCCCAGTAACAGAAGCAAGTAACTTGCAGGGATGTGTTGTTTTGTTTTTTTCTTTTTTTTCTCTTTTTTTTGAAGATTCTGATTGTGTTTTTTAGGAGTCAATAAAAAGCATTTTCTCTGCTGATTCTGTAATAGAATTCATAGGGATCCCTGGGTGGCGCAGCGGTTTGGCGCCTGCCTTTGGCCCGGGGCGCGATCCTGGAGACCCGGGATCAAATTCCACATCGGGCTCCCGGTGCATGGAGCCTGCTTCTCCCTCTGCCTGTGTCTCTGCCTCTCTCTCTCTCACACTGTGTGCCTGTCATAAATAAAATAAAAAAAATTAAAAAAAAAAGAAAGAATTCATAGTGTTCTAAAAATATAGTCAAGATGAGAAGGAAGATGGCCGTGGTGCACCAGGCACTAGGTGGCACGTTGAGCCACGTTCTCGCCGCACCCAGGGAACACATTAACTCCAGAGTCAGTCGCCCTTCCCGGAGGATGCAGAAATGCATCAGACTGGCGTGCAGTAGAGACAGCTGACTGCTTAATCTAACTCTGCTCTAGCTCATGATGAACCCACTGCTGTAAAATGGGATTCCTCTGGCACGTGACTTACATTGCCATCTACTCTTAAATTGCACCTCTTCTTCCATGTTGAGGGTTCCCCTATCCCAGAGGAAGCACCCTTTGATGTGCAGTCTCAATGGGAGAGCATGGTTAGGGTGAGGGCTTGGTACAAGCTAATTGGTACGTGATGGACCCTGCAGCATTTGTAATTAGGGGTCCACCCACAGTCCAACCAGCTCTTAAGATACATCTCATCATTTAAATATCACCAGCCATGAATGGAGGATTTGAGAGGCATTTAGGTCGAGCAGGAAATTTCGGAACCTCTCAGCAAAGAAACTTAGGTTGTTTTTGGTTACATCTTTTAGGAAAAGGAACCTGGCTGAAACCTGTGCCTAAGAAGTCAAATAAAAACAATGCAAATAATGCTTAACTGCGGGGGACTGTGAAGTCTTGGTCTTGGTAAACTGACCTTTGTGCAAACACCAAATCCTCACAGGATTCCAGCAAAGCCATTGGGGCAAGGGCCAGATAGTCTTCTAGATTCCTTGGAAGGAGGACACGTGATGAATGCACAGCTGGGAATGAGCAGTGAGCAAACCAGAAGAGAGTGAGCATTCTTCCCTCTAGTCATGATAGAGGGAAGTTAAAATGGCCAAGAAGAAGAATGGGGCTCCTGTGTCCCAGACAGGCAGACACCTGGGGATTGTGAACAGCATGGGGCGGGCCACCGCCCACTCCCTGAGAACACATTGTGGGGCACAACGCTGTAGTAGAAAGAGCCAGGGACACTGAGTCAGGAAACCTATGGCTGTGTGACCCTAGACATGGCACTTACCTACGAGCTTCGGCGTCCTCAACCATAAATAGATACAGTGGCATCTATGCCAGAGCACCAAGAAGGATGAAAAAATTGTAATGTGCAGAAAGGTGGCTGGCACATAGCATGTACTCACTTAGGCTTTTTCAGTGTCTTTGATTTCAAGCCTTTGAGTCAAAACTGATATGTGGTAGGTCTCTACGTGGGTAGAGTCAAGGTGATCATAGGCGGGACGGAGGCAGTGCAATGGAAATCTATCTGTCAGGTAGTCTGACAAGCAGACTTAGAACTCCTCACGTCCCACAATGTGGGATCCCTGGGTGGCTCAGCGGTTTAGCACCTCCTGCCTTTGGCCCAGGGCATGATCCTGGAGTCCCGGGATCAAGTCCCATGTCAGGCTCCTGGCATGGAGCCTGCTTCTCCCTCCTCCTGTGTCTCTGCCTCTCTCTCTCTCTCTCTCTCTCTCTCTCTCTCTCCCTCTCTTTCTCTCTCTCATAAATAAATAAGTAAATCTTAAAAAAAAAAAAAAAAACTCCTCACATCCCCGTGCAATTTCAACACCATTTGAGAAGACTGAGAGAGCAGTTTCTTCTAATCCTTACTGTCTCTGAAGGCCTGGTCAATACTCACCTCCTCCTGGATGCTTTTTCTCCTCTGATCTATTAGTTCACTCAACTGTTCATTCATTCAGGTTATTTATTAAGTGCCTAGTGTGTGCCGCACACTGGAGTTGCAGCTGTGAACCAGGTAGGTCTGTTCACAGCGCTCCCTTCTGGAACTTAGACCAGCAGACGAGACAGCAGAGAGCTTCATCATTTCAATTTTGAATAGTGCCATGAAGGGAAAAGCTTTACAAGCTTTTACAAAACAGGCCCAAACTAAAGTGTGTGTGTGTGTGTGTGTGTGTGTGTGTGTGTGTGTAGGGGGAGGGGATTGAAGTGCAGCATCAGGAACGTTGCTCCAAGGAAGTGACATTTAAACTGAGATCTAAAGAGTAGTTAGGCTTTCATCAGATGAAAACCGTGGGAAGGAGAGTCCAGAATAGTGAAGGCTCCTCTTTCCCTTGAGACAGGTAAGCCCCAGCGCCTTTTGAGGGAGGGAAGAGACAGGAGGGCATGAAAAGCCCTTGCTGGGAAGGGGTCAGAGGAGCACCAAGCTCGGGGACCCAGTGGGACCCCCCCCCACCGGGCTGAGAGGCTTGCTACAGTTGGTGAGGACCCATGTACGCAGACCCCCACATTTCCGCCGCTGTGACTATTCTCAAGAGATGGCTGCTTCGGTGACAGTACAAAGAAGCCAGGTGGCTGTGTTTATTCCGGAGTTAAGGTATTGCCTTAAGACATACTTGGCTTATTTTTTTAATTTTTTGCTTGATGTGCTCATCTCTTTTGTTCTCCTTCTCTCCCTTACCTTATAAATTATTAAACTTGCATTTTGAGAGTCCGCTCGGGAATTTACTCCTCGGTTTTCCTACAGAAATAAGTGTGTAGTAAAAAAACTTCTTCATTGCCTCCTATTTTCCAATTTATGTAGATGCTGAGACTAGGGTGGAAAATGAGGTGGACAGGTCTCCACCCTCAAGGAACTTTAAAGTTAGATCAGATGAGCAAACATGCAAGACCCAAGAGATAGACCACAGAGCCCAAATGGCACACTTTCCATGAAGACTTGCTTATGCAAAATGAAGCCCTTTTACCTGTGAACCTCACCTGGTCTCTACGAATCGGTCAGTATCTCTCACTTTCCCTCACCCTCCCTTCTTCTCTCTCTCTCTCTCTTGAGATTCACCATTAAAAAATTAAAAAATGAGGGGCGCCTGAGTGGCTCAGTCAGTTGAGCATCTGACTCTTGGTTTCAGCTCAGGTCATGATCAGCATGGAGTCTGCTTGAGATTTTCCCTCTCCTTCCCCCTCTGCCCCTCCCTCCTCTCCCCCTCTCCATTGCTCTAACTAAATAAATAAAATCCTGAAAAAAATAAAAAATTAACCTTGCAAATTAGTCTTCAAGTCAGGATAGGAGCAAAAGCAACCTTAGAAGTTATTCCTTACCCATCAAAGTCTCTTACCTCTTGGCTTTTCTAAAGACAAAAAACCAAAATGGCGATGGGGCTTTTATAAGCAACAAACTATATGATTTCTGTAATGTAAGTTTAATGTACTTTTGAAGACAAGCAAGACCCCTCCCCCTGAAAGGACCAGCTTTCCCGTTTCCCGTGTGGATCAATACATTTGGTACATACAAAAAGTAATCAGGTTACACTGACAGATGGCCTTAAGGATTTATAACTGGCTCTTAGAATGAATGCCTGGCTTTCTGCCTTCAGCAGCAGCCCTTGATAAACAGGGTCAGTTAGTGACGTTAAAGACTTCCAGGTTCCAAAGGCGCAGGGTTTCAGACTGGATAAAAAAGCAGGACCCATCTATTTGCTGTCTACAAGACTTCCAGGTTCCTTTCTCTTGTGCTCATAGGTGGTGTGCTTCTCTTCAGCTGCTGCAGAAAGAAATGCCAAGTCATTGCTCCATAGCGATGGTTTAAAATTTATAGCTCAAGAAACTGGAAACAAGAAAATCTTACCTTGGAGTCCTTCACCACCTTCTGTTCTTTGGGTGTATTTTCCCCAACCCCAACCCCAAGGGAAAAAAAAAGGCAATAGGGCCATCTTTGGGATTACCTTATTTGGCAGAGAACCTTTGTGCCTTAGCAAATGGATGGCAAACATTCATGTAAGTGGCTCCCTGTGTTGGCGCAGGCCTGGTGCACGCCCATCCAGAGTCCAGCATAGCAGGCTTGCCTATTTCAGGGTCTCTTTAATCTGAGGAGAAATCTCCTTGAATTTAAGTACTTGAGATACTTGAGCCAAAAACTCTTTCAGGGGACTTGAGAATTCTTTTGAGGGGTTTATCGAACCTTAGCCTGTACATCTGCCCATGCACCTCATAGGACAGGAGCCCAGCAGAGAAACAGGCTCCTTGGCCATCGTTAAATTTGTTTGTTCTGTAGCTCGTAAAGTCATGGTTCCCACACCTGGTAGTGACCAGGAAGGAGGGATTCCCATGGGGTTGGGTCCTGCCCTCCTTATTTTGCCTGTCAGTGAGGGGTCACGAGTGGAGGTGGTGACTGTCATGCTTAATTATGAGTTGACTAGGACAGCTATAAAATGGTAATGACTATCATTACCAACCTAAGCCTGCTTCAGAGGAATTCAGGTGTCTGCCTCCGTCCGTCTATCCTAATCTCACTGGCCATCCCCCAACTCTACCAAACTGTTACTTACACAATTTGCTGTCATCAGAACACCTACCTGTTAAGAGTGTTATTTAAAAAAAAAAACCCAAAGGCTGTCATTTGGTCATCACCTTTCATTAATTTCATCTCGGGTTTTTTTTTTTCTTCTTTTCTCTTGGAATTGATTCTGGGGGCCGAGAGTCTAGGCTAATGAAGACAAAATACCTACCTAGCACAAGGCACAAACAGCCAGAATGAGGGTCTTTGAGGAGGCTGATGATTGGGGCCGAGAATAGGGTCATACCGCCACCTTGTGGTTAATAGTGACACCTGCTTTTTTTTTTAAGATTTATTTATTTATTCATGAGAGACAGAGGCAGAGATGCAGGCAGAGGGAGAAGCAGGCTCCCCGCAGGGAACCTGATGCGGAACTCATCCCAGATCCCAGGATCATGACCTGAGCCGAAGGCAGGCGCCCAACCACTAAGCCAGCCAAGCATCCCGATACCTGCTTTTAAAGTAAAAATCCGTTTTTTTTTTATTGAATCACATGTTGGTTAAAAACATGAATGGATATAAAAGAATAAGAGATTATGGAGCAAAATAATTATGTCCAAAATTATTATTCAGACCAACTTTTCAGATCCTTTCAGAGGATCCCCAGCGGAAATTCTATAACCTCAAGCACTGACCTTTCTCAGGCCAAATGACAAGTTCCCACACTAGACTGAATTATATAAAAGCAGTGGGGGTGGGGGCAGGGGGATGGTACCATTGCCTATTTTACAATATCACACACTTGTATTAAGGGACAGTCTCAGCCGTGAATGTACATCACTGCAACCAATAATGAGGTCTATTTTAAAACAAAAATAATTGATAACGCAACTATTAATCTTTCAGGAATATGATGATATTCTGCAACTCATCTTAGTGGGCATTGGGGTGCCATAATGTTCTTTGAGGTACAGTGAATGGTGTTCCTTTCCCCTCTGTTGAGTTAACTCAGAGAATAATTTACTCATGTGGTCTGGCAATGAAATATTTTTTAAGTTTTGAAGGAATAATATTCCACAGTTGAACACAATGTTATTGAGTCAGGTAAGAATAGGATTGAAAGAAAAAGGCTTAAATGTCTCCATGAAAAAATAATGAGAGATCGCTCCAAATTTTTCATGGTGTCCAGATTGTCCTACTGCTTTGGATTCATTCTGGATACTCAGAAAATAACCATACTCGATATACGCATTCGCGGAAAATAAGGTGGTCCTGGGGACCAGTAATAGTATCACAGACTTTGGAACCTTAGATTATCTTCTCCATGTGGAACTTGGTTGGTAGAGGGGCACAGTGTTTGGTCTGGCAGATGTTGTCATTGTGGCAGGAACCCTTCCTTTTCAGGATGACTTTTCATTTCCCAAACACTGTGCTTTTTGTCCTCTTATTCTGACCTGTTATTGCTAGTCCTGAGAGAAACCTTCCGGCCACAGGGAGACACCGATCCGATCCCCTCACTGCTCAGAACAAACTAAATTGAGCCCCGAGCATGGCGTTTAACCTCAATGAAACCAGTGCATGAGGTCTAGTCTTGTGGGCCTACACAAGGCCCATACTCTCAACCCCACCAAGAAAAGAGAACGGAAGTCTATGTGCGTCTGCATCCTTGGGGGACAGCCCATCTACAGCACACAGTTATCTATCTTAACTGTAGATAAGACCCCAAAATGGAAGGAGATGACCAGAGAAGGAATGGGCAAGAGCATTTGGAAACAGAAAAGGGAAGAGAACAAGAGAAAGGAAGAATTGGCGCAGACTTTCTGTAGCCTAGGAATAACACCCCCCACCCCCCTCAGATCTGCTGTGAGGGTCCGAAGGTCATATGTGTGTAAAGCCTTGCCCTCCACCAGGCCCCTAAAGGGGTGGCTGCTCTTGTGTGCTGCCAACCACTGCTGTGACCTGGTCCTCCCGAAGAGTTCCACCCAGAGGCTTCAGACAGGTGGAAGCTGCCCAAACAACAGGAGCCCTTGTCCTCAGGGGTCGCAGTGTGACTCAGAAACACGATGACAGTCATTCTTTCCCTTGTGAGATTCTTGTCCAGGAAAAAGTAGTTCTTTTAGTAGCTTTTCAACAAATCTTAGTTGAAGGGGGAGGAAGCCTGGAGCTTTGACACATTTTCCCTGAGGTACATCTTTCATTCAGTAGCTCATAATAATCTGATATCATCCTCTTTTTCCCTACACTGTTCCGATAGGCTGGGCACCCCACCTACTTCATTGTATTCTACTGGCCTTCCCCTTTGAGAGAGAGAGAGAGAAAAGACGAGAAACGTGTGCAGAAAGAGAAAGGTCCTACAGATTGCACACCCGTTTGCTGGATGGATATCTGGCTTTTGAATAATTCACACAGCAAACTATTTTCTAGGAATCTGGCACTTTATAAATAGACATTGATTAAATCTGTTGTCTGAGTGAATGAGTGAACAAAGGAGGGAACGCTCAAATGCCTGCACGACAGATCTCTTTTGTTTGTGTTTCCTAAAATGTGTTATGCTTTGGGCCTGTATATTAAAAAAAAATTATTTCAAATATATTCATAGGTCGCCGTGATTTATGTGCTTGCTTGAATATATTTTAGTAACTGATGGCAGGGCCAATTTGTAGTCTAAATTTAAAGTGAATTATTCATTGCTTCAACAAACCAGAAGAGAAGTGGTGGTTATTTTCATTCAGTTATAGCTGTCCGGGGGCAAACATGCCAAAGCAGTTTGACCATCCATTACGGTATGCGTATGCGTGTATTGTTTGCAGGCATAATATATAACCAGCATGGGAAGAACGGTGTTCAATATTACCCAGGAAACTGTACGCTTATATATTTACAGAGCATTAGGAAGTGTTTGTGTTGATTCAGGGACCTAAGGAAAACATGGACTTCACCTAGGATACTCTCTGAATAGGTAAAAGTTTCTTTTTCTCCAGCTTTGTATTGTTCTTCAGTCTTAAATATTCAGATACATGCGATGTGTTTCACTTGGAGGAGATTTGGTCCAGTTTCACTGCCTTTGCCGAGGTGGCTCTTATTCTCCAAGCCCTTTCAAGGGACACTCCTGTTAGGCACCAAGCCCTCCAGGTGCTGGCTTGATGCAGACAGCGCAGTGCTCCCGAGACGTACTTAGAGCACTTTCAGTGGAGCAGATTGAAAGCATAACTGTGGACGGTCTTTTGCAAGAAAAAAACATTTTTGAGCTCTGATTAAGACAGTAATTTGCTTACTTTATTCGCGAAACTTGAGATTAAGACTGTTCCTTTTAAGTTAGAATATTCTAAAATTGAACAAAGCAGATGTTCTTTAAGCAAGGCCTCTCTGGCAAGAGATAGTTGTTAATTTAAAACAAAACTTTAAAAAAATAAATAAAAAATTAAAAAATAAAAACTTTTTGACTGTAGTTGACACAATGTTACATTAGTTTCAGGTGTCCAGTTTCTCTATATGTCATGCTCTGCTCACGCACTGGGTGGCTCCCATCTGTCACCATGCAGTACTCTTACAGTATGACTGACTGTGTTCCCTGAGCTGGGCCTTTTATTCCTGCTGTTTATCCGTTCCGTAACTGGAAGCCTGTATGTTCCCAGATGATCATTTATTTTTAATATACTGCTCTATTTTTCAAAATCTATAACTCAAAATATCTCACAAAACTCATGTGACCATTTTCATTTGGAGGATTTGTAGCTGGAACAGAGAGCAAGCTGTCGCCCCCGTTGAGAAGGCGCTTCCTCTAGGGGCTAAGACTACAGGTTTGGGAGTCAGAAATGACTGGACTCACATCCTCACCTGCCACTTAACATCTGTGACATCTCGGGGGAACTTAATGTCTCTGCCACTCAACTTTCTTGTCTGAGAAATGGGGACAAGCAGGGCCTTCTTCACAGGCTGGTAGAGCAATTAAATGAAGAAAGCATTTAGCAAGAGTCCCAGGACATGCCAGGTACTAAGATGTGCGAAGTACAGCTCTCATGCTTCACTTCTAGTGGTTTATAAATAGGTCCTATTTACTGCTGGCGAAGTATGTATTCTTAGCGCATACTTTGATCTGTTCATTTGAAAATGTACTTCCTGGGGGCGCCTGGGTGGCTCAGTGGTTGAGCATCTGCCTTTGGCTCAGGGTGTGATCCCAGAGCCCTGGGATCGAGTCCCACATTGGGCTCCCCCACAGGGAGCCTGCCTCTCCCTCTGCCTATGTCTCTGCCTCTTTCTCTGTCTCTCATGAATAAATAAAATCTTTAAAAAAAGAAGAAGAAAGAAAAGGGAAAGGAAAGGGAAAGGGAAAGGGAAGGGAAGATGTACTTCCTGAGCACTCACAGAAGCTCAGTGAAAGCTGGCCCTGAAAATAGTCACATACAACAGGTAACAGTTACGAAGGTGAAGATAAAAACATTCTCTTCCATTAATTGTACTGGCCTTTAGCTTTCTAAAAAAAAAAGCAGGTTTGGGATCTAGGGAGATGCGGGTAGGGAGGAGATGTGAACTGCATTTTTGTGAAAGCTACAGTAAATGCTTTACAGTGCCCTGGGAGCAGGGGGAATCCAAATAAGCATTTATTTGCGATGGAATACATACAATCTTATATTTTTTTGAAGACCTTAAGAATCTATCCCCAAACATAACAAAATAATAAGCTATCCACTGCCTCAAACACTGTCCTGGGGGCACTTGTGCACTCCTGCTGTACTTTTTGAGATGAGGAAAAAAAAGGTCTAGATGACTAAGGGAACTTGCCCAGAAGCAGGTGTCCAGGGGAGCCCAGCACACCCTGCACACAGCACCCCAACTTTGCTCAAAGCCTGCCTCCTGACATGCGCTCATTACGAGATTGTGTCACACTTCATGTGAGAAGTTGTTTGAAAAAAGTGCTTGGCATCACTGGCCATCAGGGAAATACAAATCAAAACCACAATGAGATCCCCCCTCACACCAGTGAGAATGGGGAAAATTAACAGGAGAGGAAACAACAAATGTTGGAGAGGATGTGGAGAAAGGGGAACCCTCCTGCACTGTTGGTGGGAATGTGAACTGGTGCAGCCACTCTGGAAAACTGTGTGGAGGTTCCTCAAAGAGTTAAAAATAGACCTGCCCTACGAGCCAGCAATTGCACTGCTGGGGATTTACCCCAAAGATTCAGATGCAGTGAAATGCCGGGACATCTGCACCTCGATGTTTCTAGCAGCCATGTCCACAATAGCCAAACTGTGGAAGGAGCCTCAGTGTCCATCAAAAGATGAATGGATAAAGAAGATGTGGTCTGTGTATACACTGGAATATTCCTGAGCCATCAGAAAGGATGAATACCCACCATTTGCTTCGATGTGGGTGGAACTGGAGGGTATTATGCTGAGTGAAATGAGTCAATTGGAGAAGGTCAATCATCATATGGTTTCACTCATACAGGGAATATAAAAAATAGTGAAAGGGATCATAGGGGAAAAGAGGGGAACAGAGTGGGGAAAAATTAGAGAGGGACACAAACCATGAGAGACTCCTGACTCTGGAAACAAAGTTTTGCAGAAGGGGAGGGGCTGGGAGTGGGGGTGACTGGGTGACGGGCACTAAGCAGGGAACTTGATGGGATGAGCACTAGGTGTTAGACTATATGTTGGCAAATTGAATTTAAATTTTTAAAAATCCAAAAAAAATTTTTAATGTAAAAAAAAAATAATAAAACCCAGTGGTCTCTCTGCAGGAGGACGCAGCACTCCGCGCCCATGTGCCCACCTCTGAAGGACTGACGGGCTCCCTCTGCTTGTGCCACTCCCGCTCCCACCATGGGACCCTCGGAGGACATGCTGAGCAGCGGGCAAGTGCAGGTCGTCCTGTGGGGCAGCTTGGCCACCGTGGCCACATTCTTCCTCATCAGCTTCCTCATCTTCCTGTGCTCCAGTTGTGACAGGTGAGATCCCCTGGAACCCTAAAATAACCCCTTCCCTGGACCCAGAAGGGTCCTCACAGGGAAGGCACGTTACAAAAGGAATCCCGCTACGTAGGCCTGTTTCTGTTGTCACAGAAACCCCTTTGTTAAAATTAACGTCTCTACTGTAAAGCATCTCAGGACATTTTTTTAGTAGTTTGAACGAAAATCTTAATCGGATATTGCCGAGGAGAGATTGGAAGAACGCTTACGTACGAAACTTCCCAGAACAAGATTCCTGGCGTTCTCCAGAGCACATCCTTGTTAAAGTCTATACCGTCTTCCCATCTGTGGACATTTACAGATCTAAGTATGCCGCGCATTCAAGACCCTCTTTTTGCTGCCCCTTGAGACTTACCGAGAATGATTGCTGTTACATAGTTGAAAGGATCGTTTTCCTCAAGATCTGTAATCTAGAAGTGCAGTTTAAGGAACAGGTTGATTTTCCTATGTGAGAGATGAACAGAAATAATCATCCTGTCTTTTGTCTATGCTACTTCTTCCCCCACCCTGTCTCCCTCATATAAAAATCTCTATACACCCCCCCCCCCCAAAAAAAAAAAGAGATCTTTGCTCAGGAGCAAAGCTCTTTCTCACAGGGAGTAATTTCCCAGTGTTTGAACACTGTTGGGGCATGGGCAGCCTCCCAGTGGATTGGTGCTGTGGGGTCGGTGTAGACCAGTCAGCCCTCCTCTAAACCCTCCTCTCAGTAACCTCAGGAGAGACTCAACGAGGGTCACTTACAAGTCTAGAGATGACCCCTGAGTTTGCAGATAGACCCCTGAGGTCTCCGTCAGGAGGGGGACACAGATGGACTCTCTGAACCAAGTGACCCTAATCCCTTTCCAGTTTATTTTTCTTTATTTAAAAAATTTTTTTTTTGCCCTTCCCAGTTTAGACCTGGGGCTCTACAGCCGGGTTCTGAGTCTGATCAGAAGATGGCCAGCAGGCAGTGTCTGCTCCCTTGGACTTGCGAGGGCCTGCCTGTAATTATTTTCACTCCCACTGGGTGTCACTGTTGCTTTGTGCGTGTACGGGAAATGTGTTCTCTAGTACCGATGGCTTTCTTTAGACTGTCCAGAGTAAAAATAAATTCTATTTTTATTCGATGGACTTTTCCATAGACTGGAAGTACATATGACTCATCCTGAGAGCATGTATCCTTCCCGACTTGCCAAAATTTGTATTTTCTTTCATTATTTTCCCAGTCCCGTTGCAGGGTGCAGTCAACGTTGTAAAGATTCTGAGTTAAGACAGATGAAGAATTGAGAATTGTCTGGATTTCCTTTAAAAAAAAAAAAGGCAAAATCCTTTTCTAGTATTCTAGGTATGAACAGTTTCTACTCAGGAACGTGCCTCCCAGTCCTTTTGTTGTAAACTTGTATTTTCTACTCTGGGAGAAAGGGGAGAGCCAGAGAAGCGACCAGTCTCATGCTGTGACTTGACCCTGACACCTGCAAAAGAGCGATGGGAGTCACTGTCCGGCTTCTGCTTCCTTGGCAAAATAAACCAGGATCTTAAAAGGGAGATTTAAGCGCCGATAAATATTAGGATAGAAAGGGGAGTGTATGTTTGATTTGCGACGGCATGTTTGATATTACAGCAATGTTTCCTTTTTCCATTTCAGAGAAAAGAAGCCAAGGCAGCATAGCGGGGATCATGAGAACCTGATGAATGTGGTGAGACCCGTGTGCACATGTCTGTGTGTGCTTTAAAACCCTAGCCACTTTTCCGAGCATGTTCCCACACGCTGATGCGCTGAAGCAACCCAGGGGAAAGAACTCGGCCAGAGGTAGCTGGCTGCCTGGGCTGCGCCCTCTCTCTGTAGGATTCTTACTCTGCGTGACTGGAGGCCCAAGCAATTAGCTAGGTTGGTTGGGAGAGTTTCTGAAATGGATGTGATCCTGCTGCTGCCAGAGAGATCCTGAGGGAGCTCCCAACTACTGCAGGGATGCAGGGTGGCCTGTGCCCAGCCCCAGCCCTGTATCATTGTTTATCGGTTTGCAAGGCTGCATAACAAAGGACCCCACACTGTAGCGCTTAAATGCTCTTAACTGCATTGTCCTGATGTTCTGGGGGCTAGAGCTGGAGATCAGGATGTCAGCGGGGCTGGTTCTTCTGGACCGTGGAGGCCGAATCTATCCCAGGCCCTTCTAGCTTCTGGTGGCGTGCTGGTGGTCTTTGCCGCTCCTCAGTGCCTTCGTCGTCACGTGTCGTTCTCCTGGGTCTCTCTCCATTATCTCTCTTCTAAAGCATGTTTCTATGCAAGTGTCCCCATTTTCTAAAGACTCCAGTGTGACCTCATGTTGAGCTATGGCCCAGCCGGGTGTCCAGAGTCCACCATTTCTCACCAGACCCCGACAAGCCCCTCAGATCCTTCCTGGTGAGGAGCAGCCTGAGCGGCCTGGTCCTCCTTGTCCTCTCCACTCAGGATCATGCCCTCGTCTTGCTGAGCAATTCTAGCAGCTGGGGACAGGGCCACCCACATATTCGCAGGGCCGATGTCATCAGTTTTGTCCCCACGGCAGTGCTAAAACAGAGGTGTTTCCGGTCCCTGAGGTACTTTCTCAAGATCACGCAAGAGCTGCTTTGGAGGAAAGGATGTAAAACATGTAGCCAGCAGTGGGGTCAGAGCTTCCCCAGGAGGGCTCTACCATCCCAGGCCCCCCCTCAGAGCTTCCCCCCGAGGGCTCTCCCATCCCAGACCCCCTGCGCTCTGGTCGCTTCCACTGCACACAGCACCGTTTGCACAGATTGCTGCTGTGGTGGCGTCCAGAAGGGGGTGGCGGTGGAGGACAGTTCTGCTGTTGTGAAGGTCCCAGGCCCCACCTTCTTCATCACCGCCCATGCTCCTGGGTGCCGGGTGGTGGGTGAGAGTAGGGCCAGAGACAGGGCTTCCATCTGTGTCCTCCCTCCCGATCCTTCCCGAGCAGCGGTTCTCGTGTGTGGCCTGCACTGCTGGCAGCAGCAGCTGCACCTGAAATCCATGGGGCCCAGGGAACCATTAGCAGGCACCCACCATGTGATTCTGTTGGATGCTCATGTTTGAGAACCCCTGCGGTAGACCTGCAGCGCCTGCTTGCCCACCTAGGGTCAACAGCAGCCCTGGGTGAGGTAGAGAGGCAGGTGGGCAGAAGGAAGACGGAACTCTTCCTGTACCATGTCCTTACCTAATAACCCCACAGCCTCTCTTTTTAAAAAAAAAAAAAAAGATTTTATTTATTCATGAGAGACACAGAGAGAGAGAGAGAGAAAGAGAGAGGCAGAGACACAGGCAGAGGGAGAAGCAGGCTCCATGCAGGGAGCTCGACGTGGGACTCCATCCCGGGTCTCCAGGGTCAGGCCCTGCGATGAAGGCGGTGCTAAACCGCTGAGCCACCCGGGCTGCCCCCCAAAGCCTCTCTTACACAGATGTGCATGAGTGAGCGAGCAAGCAGGAGCATACGTTCACGTGGGCAGTGGGGTGCGAGCTCACACACACAGCCTGTGCACCCACTCTCTTTAAGAGCCTCCCTCTCAGCTTCTAAATCCTGTTCAACTTGCAGATTGGCCACTTAGGCCAAAGAAGCCCCTGTGGTCAGCCTCACCTCCCCACCCCTGGCCCCAGCTACATCCCTGCTCCCTCCTAGTCCCCAGAGGAGGCACCACTAAACTGTAGCTTAAAACAATCCAAAGGCACAGGGGTGCCCTGTAGTGTGTTCCTCGGGGCTATGGAAGGAGGGAGGCTCACTTGTGGTCCCCCATGGGCCCTTTCTCTTGGAAGCTAAGAGTAGATGTGGTGGCTAGAACCCCGATTACACTACTTCAGCAGGGATGGGCGATGATGCTGTTGTGAGCCTGCCTGGGAGCCTTCCCCCTTCACCCCTGACTCCTGTCCAGGTGTGACGTTTCTGTGCCTTGAGCATCTGCACCATAAGTTCCTGCACCCTAATGCAATGACCCACCTCCTAGCGCTCTATGGTCAGGGGCAGCCTTACACTGAAGCAGCTGACTCCAGTAAGGGTTCGCAACACAGCATGAGCTGTATGCTCTCTACTATTATTATTGGGTTCCCAGTAAGAAGTCAGAGAACTTATGAAGCCAGCTAGCCAAGCTTCTGGAGCTGTTTATATTGGAACTTGCCAAAAAAAAATAAAAAAATAAAAAAAGAACTTGCCATGTGGCATCCTGACACATGGTCCAGGTGTGGCCCTGGGTCACGCATGCTGTGTATTCTGTGAGAAGCTGTGGGAACAGGTCACGTTAGCAGTGATTCAGGCTGCTATGTGGAACCAGTTGGGCATTTGAAGAAACACGTGAACTACTAACTTACTTTCTGAATGCCCGTAGCTAGAGCTCAGGCTGGCATGTTATTCCACATAGGAGCTCCACATTGGAGCCCAGCTTCCTTCCTGAATTTGGGAGAATAAGAAAGGTTTGCAAACCTGCTGCTTCACACATGATTGTTTCCCTGAGCCCTGAAGCAGAGGCGTGGCTGGTTATGAAATAAACTCAGAAACCAAGGACGTTGTCTATCTTTGGCCAGACTGAAGTCTCTTCCCTTCAGGTGGCATGTTTTTCTTGGCATCATATGCCTTTAAGAACAGCACGTTTCAGCACTTGCGGTACGAAGCTGAGCCTGCTGTCTGCTGGGGTCGGTTCTGACCAGCACCGGGGCTTCTGGTCCCCTTCTCACCTTGAGCTGTAGCCCGCTTGTAGACCACCAGGTAGAAAGCTCTGGCAATGGCCTCAGAAGATTGCAGTGTCCTGAAGAGTCTAGGACAACTCCGTCCAAGAGAGCTCTGCCCCATGACGGACGTGTCTGAACCTGATCCCATGCGGTAACCACTAGCCACCTGTGGCTGTTGAGCATTCAGAATGTGACTGGTACAACTGAGCAATTCAATTTTGCTTAATTTTTAATAGTTTAAGGGGAGTTGGGTTTCTGTTGTTGCTGTTTTAATTTTTAGAAAAAAAAAAAAAGCCATGGCCACTGTCCTCTGCTTCACTCTGATTGTTCCTGTGGTGTTTGCCCTGCAGCCTTCCGACAAGGAGATGTTCAGCCGTTCGGTGACCAGCCTGGCCACAGATGCACCTGCCAGCAGCGAGCAGAACGGGATACTCACCAATGGCGACAGTAAGTTCCGCAAAGATACCGGCTTTCCACGCAGGCCTCATCGCCCGAGGAAGAAGTCAGTTTCCAAATATGTAGCTCAAAAACTAGGCAGTGTGTTCTTGCTCACTCCTAGTATTCCCACCAGTTTTAGCACAAATAAGCTCATTTGGATGAAAACCTAATATTTATTCATGGGTTTCTCTGTGCCGTGGCTCCAAGATTTGTATACTCACTCATCCTACAACTACCCTGTAAGATTCCTGTTACTAGTAGTAATATTACTACTCCTGGAAAGAGGCTCTCGTAACTCTCCACAGCTTACAGGTGAAGAAACAGTGGCACATTGCTGCTTCGATAGATTGCCGCAAACCTGGTGCATTAGACCAACAGAAATATATGGACTCCTAGCCCTGCAGTCAGAGTCCCAGCAGAGCTTCATTTCCTCCTAGAGGCTCTCAGGTGAATCTGTTTCCTTACCCGTTTCAGCTTCCAGAGGCCACCTGCATTTTTTCATTCCTAGCTTCTCCCTCCATCTCCACCTCTCTCCACCCTCCCTGCCTCCTCTGTCACTTGAAGGGACCCTTATGATGACATCGGTTCCCCCTGGGTGGCTCAGGCTGCAATTCCATCTCAGGGTCAGCTAATAGTTCATTTGCACCCTTTACTCCACGTGACATCACACACACACACACACACAGATCCCGGCGATTAGGACCTGGACACTTTCAGAGGCCATTATTTTGCCCTCCAGGGAGAGTCTAATAATTTGCCTCAGATCATAGTCAGGGTGCTGAGGATCCTTAATTTGAGGCCGGCAAGCTGAGTCCTGGACGCACCTTTGGAAGCACTCTGCATACTGCCTATTTCATGCGCTGGGTGCTCTCCCTGACAAAAACAGCAATGACACTTGCTTTGCACTTTCCTGTTTACAAAGTGCTTCCACCTGATGTAAGATAAGAGGTTGTCTCGTTACCCCATGTACTGGTAAGGAAGCGGAGGGGCAGCCTCAACCCCAGAGTCTTCAGGCTCCGGTGCCTGTTCTCTGTCCACCATACACACTTCTGGGACCGGGAGGGAAAAGTTCACGCCCTCTGTGATGATTAAGTACACATAGAGTGGCGCCTGCGTTGTGTTAGACACTGTCCTGGGCTCCAGGGGTCTTAGAGAATCCCAATCCAGTCAATGAAAAAAAAAAGATTAAAAATCATAAATTATAATCACACATATCTACATATATAAGGACTATATATAACACGTAAGGACTGTATACTATATAAAGAGTATAGAAGATAAATACATGCGTGAATATATAAATACAGACGTACACTTTTTATATTTACATGTGAAGACTATGTAGTATATAAAGAATATAAAACCGAGGTGACAGTAATTTAGAAACTTGTTCAGTACGATGTTAAGTATCAGAAGGGCGGGTCTCTGCTTTGTTGATGTTGATGTATCTCCAGCACTTCAGCGGTCTCTGGCACATAGTAGGCACTCAAAGAACATTTGCTAAAAGGATGACTGAATGGTTTCACATGGTGCATCTCCGTGGACATCTAAACTTCACAGTTGACTTTCTAATTTGAGGTAGAAATGGTAGTAGGGAGGTGAGGTGGAAGGAAGACCTTTGAAGAGGCACGGGGGTACGGTCCCTTTGTGCTTGTGGTTGAGGGTACATTTTTGTCTCACTGCTTGCATCACGTCCGCCATGACCATGTAGAGGCAGATGGGCACCAGTCATTCCCTCCAAACGGGAGGTGGCCAGTAAGGCCGGGGCAGGTGGCCACCACACATGCCCCCCGTTTGGGTGCCCAGCTCATGGAGTCAGACCTCAGGTCGCATGAGACACGCTGCCTACAAGAGTCCCATCAATAAGCAATGAAAGTAACCGGGAACCACATTTATAGCTAGGATAGTTCATTAAATAATGTATTGGAAAGACGTAATCGCTGCTTTTCGTTTCAGCTGTGGTTGAAATATCAACTAACAATCCTATCATCTGTAATTTGCAGCTCAGAGTCCAGTAAGAAGCAAGCACCTTGATTTAACCTAATGTTTCGTCATCCGGTTCACTGCAATAATTATTTAAGAGATTGTCTTTCTCCATCTTTTTTTAATACTTCTGCCACTTTAGTCCTTTCAGAAGACAGTACTCTGACGTGCATGCAACATTATGAGGAGGTGCAGACGTCAGCTTCAGATCTGCTGGACTCCCAGGACAGCACGGGGAAGCCGAAATGTCATCAGAGCCGGGAACTGCCCAGAATTCCTCCCGACAGTGCCGTGGACACGACGCTCAGCACGAGGAGCGGGGACGGGGACCAAGGCCTGGGGATGGAAGGGCCATATGAAGTGCTGAAGGATAGTTCCTCCCAAGAAAACATGGTGGAGGACTGCTTGTATGAGACTGTGAAAGAAATTAAGGAGGTGGCCACAGCTGTGAACCCAGGGAGAGGCCAGAGCAGCAGATCAAAGTCGACTTCCGCCTTGAAAGAGCTTCCAGGGCCCCAAGCCCCCCAAGCAGACTTCGCTGAATATGCCTCGGTGGATAGAAACAAAAAGTGTCGACAGAGTGTTAATGCAGAGACCATTCTCGGAGATTCGTGTGATGCGGAAGAGGAGGCCCCACCACCTGTCCCTGTTAAACTTCTGGACGAAAACGAAAACCTCCAGGAGAAAGAAGAGAGCAAGACAGAAGAAGGAGCCACAGAGGGGACCAGTGACACCAACAAGGTGGGCTCCTTTGTCTCACGTGCTTTTGTCCTGATGGGGAATCTAATGTAGCTAATCCTGGGGCTTTGGCTGGCACATTGTTCTGGGAAATATATACAAACACTTTCAGGTTCGTTGAATGATGAAAGCTGTTTTAGTGTAAGCTGTGTTTGACTTCTTCCTGCCTCCAAATAATAAAATACTGAAAACTCGTGTTTGTAAAATATTTCTCTGTTGGCACCTTACTTGGATATTTTCCAGTGTTTACATCATGTCTAATTGGGGCCGAGTATTATTTTCTTCATTTTGAAGATCAGGAATTAAATGGAGACTAGACCCTTTGCCACACATTTAGCATCTTCTGTTTGTTGCTCCTCAAGCATCATGGTGATCTTTGCCCTTCCGGGAATCCCAGGAATCGGACCACAGAGAGAACAGACTTACAGGACCACTGGTTGTATCTGATTCTATGCATACTTTTATATAAATCAAGTAAAAGATTTTGTGGCGATTTCAAAGCAATGGCCTGTAACGCTTCAGTTTAGATAGTCAACGAAGCTGTAAAATGTATTAATAATGCCTCAGCCTTCTCTTTTTTCTGATAACTTGATGTAGGAGCCACAGTAGCCTGAAATTCACATCTCCTGTTGTCAGTATCTCCTTGGGATTTAACTAGGCCTCCTCGTCTTTAAGCAACTAGTATCTGATTTCTATTCTCTACACAGGAAAAAAAAAAGCAAAAAAGCAAAGTTCTCATCTGAGGCTTTGGTAGGAAGGAAGGACACGTAGGGGTTAGTTAATAGTAGCCTTAAAAAGCATCTGGAGGTCATGATCAAAATGTGAACCCTGACTATGGTTATTTAGGTTACACCAAGTCAGTCATTCTTTGTGGTATTCTCTGAATGCATTTTGAATTTTAGTATTGCTCATGAAACCAGCTGTCGCGAGCCCCAATACAAGTGTCTATCTATGAACCTAGTCATAAAATGCAAAAATGCAGTCTAATGTTTTGCCTTTCATATAACCAGAGATAATAAAACTAACGTAAAGTTTATAGTGCCTAAAGCAATTAAAGCTTTTTTTACTTGAAAAAGACAAGAAGTCAATTGTCTAACCACTACTAGTGAGCAGTTCTCCAGATACCACATTAGAATCTGGATATATCTGTCTGGGAATCAGATTACCTTTCTATAGTGATATAAGAATGAATACCCCGTCATCTCCATTATAAAAAATCCTAATTTAAAGCAATTCAGAGAACTTGAAATATTAATATTCATTCATTTTTTTCATTAATTCACAAGATTTTAGTGAGTACCAACTTTATGCCACACAATCTTCTAGGTGCTAAGAATACACTAGTGACCAAAACATAAATGAGCAAAAATTTATATGGACCTGTGGACCTTACATTTTAGTAGAGAGAGAAAGGCATAAATATGTACATAAGTAAAATATATGGCATTTTAGAAGGCTTTAAGTTTTATAGAGAAAAATTAAAACAGAATTAGGAACGCGGAGTGGGAGTACAGTTGTGAATTGGGGTATGCCTACTGTGAAGGTGGCATTTGAATAAAGTGTTCAAGGAAGTGAGAATAAGTTGGGGAAGAGCAGATGGAGCAGAGGGATTGGGCATGTGAAGGCTCTGAGGCTGCACCTTACCCGGCTTATCCAGAGAAGAGGAGGGGGACTAGATGAGCAGGATAAGAGTAGTAGAAAGGTAATCAGGGGCCCAATCCTATATGGCCCTTACTCATAATCTGAATAAATCAGGGGTCATTAGAAAATCTTGAGCAGAAGAACAGATTATTCTAGGTCTAGAAAAGAGACCCCTGACTATAGTGTTAAATTCAACTGTAAAGGGTAGGAGCAAGGAGACCAAACAGGTGGCCATTCTCACAAATCAGACAAGAGATGGTGGTAGCTTGGAACAGGCCAGAAGTCATGGGAGAAACTAAACTAGAGCCAAGATATTTGTTGGTGGACCAGATGTGTGAAGAAAGAAAGACAAAATAATGACGATCCCAGGTTTGGCCTGAGCCGCCAGAAACATGGAATCGCCCTTAACTGAAATGGAGAGGATGACAGGCAGGCAAGTTTTTGGAGAAGATTGGGTATTCGGTGCTGGCCATGTTTCATTTGAGATACATACTGGATGTCTGAGTAGAAGCAGCAGAGAGCGGCTGGATGAATGAGCAGCCTTGTGAGAAAAGGCCTGGGCTGGATTTGTACACTTGGAAATCCTCAGCAGAAATTTTTCCTTAAAGCTATGACATTGGATGAGATCATCGAATGAGTGTAATGGCATCTAGAGGAGTTCCCAGGGCACAAGTCTGGGAAAGAAAAGGAACAGAGGACACCAAAATAGGAAAGAAAAACAGGAAAGCTCAGTGTCCTGGAAGCCAGGTAAAGAAGGTTCAGGGACAGAGGAGTGGCCACTGTGGCAAATAACAGCGATGAATCAGAAAGTGAGGGCTGAGGACTGTCAGTCCCATTGGCTACATGGTGGATATTGGTGTCTGTGGAGTGTCAGAGTCAGAAGCGTGACTGAAATGGGTTTAGAGAAAGAATAGGAAGAGAACCATTATTTGGGCAGCTTTTTCAGACAACTCTTTTAGGAGGTTCTGCTAATAAAGGGATGGGCTGTTTTGTTTTTAGAATCAGAAATAACAGCATGGTTTCACGTGGGTGGGAATGATTTCATAGGGAGGGAAAAGCTGATGATCTAAAGAAAATGGGAGAATTGCTGGAGCACGTATTCCTGAGTAGATGCGAGGGGACAGGATTTCATTCATCACCTTAATTAAAGAGGGGCTTAGAAAGTTCTTTGGTGACAGGGAGGAAGGAAAATTGGTGAAGACAGAGATGGGGGGCAGGGTGGGGTACAAGTTCATGGAGATTTCTTCAGTTTTTCTCAAGGTCACCAGGTAAGAGTAAGGATGGGGTGAGGAGGTAGGAGGTGTTGGAGTCTGAGGAGAGAAAAGAAGCTAGGAGGTAGACAGCTAGGAGAGCCAGGACCGGGTATACTAACAAGTGTGGTATGACATGGAGCAGCATTAAGGACTCACTTGAGGGTTGATTTCACCAGTGACTGGAAAGGGCATTGGGTATTTAATACTACTGGGTATTGAAAAACATCACACAAATTTTTAGAAGTGTTTATCCTCAGTTGCTTGACGTAATTTCTTTGTAGAAAAATTTCTTCCCTAAAAATCATTTGAAAACATTTTTATTAGATTGTCAAAACATATGCAAAAGAAAGGCTGGATTATTGACTTCAAACTATACCTTCCCTTGGCTTGTGTTTATTTTAACAGAGATTTAGTTCATTGTCATACAAGTCCCGGGAAGAGGACCCAACTCTAACAGAAGAAGAGGTGAGTTTTGTTGCTTTTTAAATAACTGGAAAGCTCTAAAGTATAGTTTCTCTCCTTGCATAAACGCCTGTCAATGTTACCCTTCTCCAAAAAAGCTAAAATACTCTTCAGCATATGTCTGGAGACCAGGGTTTGGGGATGTTGGCTTTATAATGGCTCAGAGAGAGTAACTGGCAGATGGTGAGATAAGGGGGAGGACAGGATGAACGGGTCACCTAAGTAAAAGAAACTGAGGAAGAAAGAAGCATCAGAAAAAAATAGAGGGGATCCCTGGGTGGCTCAGTGGTTTAGCACTTGCCTTCGGCCCAGGGTGTGATCCTGGAGTCCCGGGATCGGGTCCCACATCAGGCTCCCTGCGTGGAGCCTGCTTCCTCCTCTGCCTATGTCTCTGCCCCCGCCCCCCCCTCTCTCTTTGTCTCTCATGAATAAATAAATAAAATCTTTAAAAAAAAGAAAAAATAGAATGAGCAGGGGAGAAAATAGAATGAGAAAAGAGAAATTTAAGTACGAGAGCTTAGTGAGCAGTCAGGAAGTCCACCTTTGAAGGAAATTAATCATGGGTTGGAAAATACAGGAAATTGGAACAGGTGGGTGTAGGGAATTTAATCCAGTCTGGGAGATGAAGGGGAAGGTTTCAATGAGGCATTTTGGAGGTAGACAGCAGGTAACTCCAGAAAGTACAAATCAGGCTGGAGCAGCAGTCAGACATAGCAGCCAACAAGGAGGGACTGTATATCCTCCCAAGAACCAGGGCTAGATATTCACCGGTTAACTTTTCACGGAAGCATTAAGTTTATAAAAGCCAGTATATATATTATATCGAGCTAGGCTCAGATTGCTGAACACCTTAATTTATCTAGCTGCATAAAGCTTCTGTCTGGAATTCCTAGCACAGTAAATTTGGTACATGTAGAAAAATGACATACATATGCAGGTACATCCCCTCCTATTATAGACTTTGCAGAGTATTGAAATATGGAATAGACTACAGTCGCACGCTGGAAGTTCAAAGAGCAGAAGAACTTTCCATAGGTGATGGATGCCCACATGCCTCTGTGTTTCCTGGCCCAGGGAATGGACCTGCCATCTAGTCACCTGGTCACACCAGCCAGAACCCCGGGCATCATCTTTGACACCCCATTTCCTCGCTGTCCTCAGATTCCATCAATAGCCATGTCCCCTGAATTCCATCTCAAAGGGTTTCTTTCACACACCACTCTTTCCATGTCCCCTGTACGCCCCCCCCACCCCCGCCCTCGCTCCCCAGACCATGGCATTGCCCTCCTACCAGGCCCATGGCGGCTCCTTTGCCTTCTTCCAGCCATCTGGTCCACACTGCACCAGAGCCATCCCACTTGGGACAAGAAAATAGAATATATGAGAGATCTGGAAATCAGTCCTTTAAAATAAGTTGAGACTAAGTAAAATTTTTAATTATTTTTCTTCTAATCTTAGATTGTTAATGGTTTCAGAAAATAGGACCTTGGTATACTGGTTGATTTTTAAGACAGATTAAAGAACTGTGACTCATGTATTCATTTTAGGAAAGTGTTTTAGAAAAAATAATTATGGAAGTCACTTATTTCTGTATTTATGCAATACAATGTTAGTCCAGACTGAAACTGCGATCTGAGTTTTAAGTACTATTATCCCAATTTAACAGAAAGATGGGGGCAGGGGTACTTATAGAAAGAGAAATAGGGAAAAGGTAGAGAGTAATTTATGAGAACATAACAATTTACAGCCTGAATAATAAAAATGAAAGATATAAAAGGGAAAAATTGTGAAGGTAAATAGCAAGGGGGCTTGAAAGGAACCCATCTACAAAATAGAAATAATAGTTCTAGAAGGCAAATACTCAAACAGAGCATCAGAAGACTTGAGAATCTTTTATATGCATTAAAAATTATATCCTCTGCATGGTTAGGTTGGTGCCCAAAGATAATATCAAGTTTTTAGTTAATGAAAGAGCCTGTAAAACCTAAGTAATTACAAACAGCAGGGGTATTGATGGCAGGCATCATGGGGAAGAGAGTTGAGGAGAGAAGCTGAACCGGGCCAAGCCCCATTGTTAGAATGTAGGTTAAAAAAAAAAAAATGTAGGTAAAGGCATGTTTGTCCTTGATGCTTCCCTGAAGGTGAAGAGTCCCCTCTTCACTGTCATCTTATGATTTACCCTTTATCATCTGTCCACATTTTCGGCTTGGACCACCTTTCACATAATAAGTTCTGTATGTCTGTTCCTCACCATGAAAAGCAAACAACTTACCTTAACTCTTCCTAATTCAAAGAAATTACACACCTTCCTTTCAAGAGTAATTTTTCCACTAAAATCTCTAAGATGAGAATGTTAATTTAATATTGATTAGAAGGGTTAGACCCACATGGCAAGAATTTCCCAAAGATAAGATTTCTCTGGCTCTAAATCTGTGGATTGTCAAGGCCTGGCAAAACAGAACCACCAGCCTGCAGTGAAAAGTTCTCATGCAAATGACCGGTTAGCATGCGGCAGGCCTGTCTTAAGAAGCGTTTGCGGCCAGCTGGAAACTTCATCCACAGTATGTGAGATATGTGAAAGCAAGAAAATATCTCTCTGCACTTGGGAAGCCAAGCATCTGTCAGGAGGCATGTTCATTTATTTCTTGGGTGTTTGAATAAATCAATCATTATGGCCAAGATAAATATAGGTAATGAAGGTTATTTCTACTTATTTCCAACCATGATTTCTAACAATAAAATACCCCCCAAAAAAAATCTTTATCAGTATGTTTAATCTATCATTATCAAAGAAAATTAAATCCCTCTTGATAGTAGAGGTTATATGGGGTGTATTAGCAAGACTGAGTAGGTGTGTCTGGAAAGTAGCCCACTCTTCGCATAGGAAAGAGCACCCTGTAAGTTCATTGTCTGCGAATTTCACTTCTGAGTTGGCTGGTGGCAAATAAGAATGAATTTTTCCCACTGGAAAAAAAAAAAAGCTTATCACCTTCTGCAAATGTCTTTTTAACCAGTATTATGCAGAGAAGTTGAAAATTAATGGAAAATGATGCTTTTGCAGATGTATGTGTATTGCCAGTGAGAATCCAGGACCTACTTTTTCAGACCGCTCTGATGCAGAAAGAGTGGATCAAATAGTCTCGTTCAAAGGTTCTCACACTCTAGTGCCCATGAAAACCAGCAGAGTGCTTTGCCCCACCCCAGCGTTTCCAGTCCAGTGCTTCTGGGATGGGGCCCGAGGACTTACCTTTCCAGTAAATTCCCAGATCCTGCTGCTGCCAGTTTGAAGCCCACATTCTGAGAACCATTCATCTCACATATGTTTTCTGCCCTTTTTTTCTTAAAGTAGTAGAGCCTTTTTTCAGGTGGAATAGCATTCTGATAATCGAAATCGAATGAAACATGATACTCTAGTCAGGACCTGGAGGCCTCTTGAACTTCCCATCCCTCAGATGACCCAGAGAGAACCTGGTTTTCCTGGAGTTATGCCAATGTGTCTGGTCTACTTACAAAGTTGAAGCTACCATATATAATTGTTCTCTGGAAGTATGCTCCAGAATTAGTACAGTTAATAAAGAATCCACTTCTGGGTTTATATCTGAAGGAAATGAAATCATTTTCTTGAAGACATATCTTCACTCTCATATTCTTTGCAGCATTACTCAACAATGGCCAAGATTGGAAACAAACCAAGTGTCCATCAGCCGATGAATGGATAAAGAATATAAGAGAGATACACTCACATTATAAATACACATTTGTGTGTGTGTGTGTGTGTATATATATATATATACACACACACACACACACACACACATATACGTGTGTATATGCACACATACACACAATGGAATATTATTCAATCATAAAAAGGAATTTCTGCCTTTTGTAACAACTTGGATAGATCATGAGAGCATTATGCTAAAAGTGAAATAAGTCAGAGAAACACAAATACTATATGTTCTCACATACATGTGGAATTTAAACAACCCAAACTCATAGAAATAGGAAATAGAATGGTGGTTGCCAGCGGTTAGGGAATAAGGGAAATGGGGACATGTTCGTCAAAGGGCACAAACTCCCTGCTATAAGCTGAATAAGTCTTGGGGCTCTAATATAGATCATGGTGACTATAATTAAAAGTAGTATACTATCATACTTGAAAGAGTAGATCTTTAAAAAAAAAAAAGATTTTATTTATTTATTCATGAGAGGCAGAGGGAGAAGCAGGCTCCATGCAGGGAGCCTGATAGGGACTCAATCCCAAGATCCCGGGATCATGCCCTGAGCCAAAGGCAGACGGTCAACCACTGAGCCACTTACATGCTCCGCTGAGTAGATCTTAAATGTTATCACCACACACATACACACACACACACACACACACACACACTGGTAACTGTAGTAATGGAGGAGTTAACTAACCTTTCTGTTAATCATTTCACAGTATATATATATGTATCAAATTACCATGTAATATATCAATAATATCTCACCAGACCTGGGGGGAAAATTGGCAAAAAAAAAAAAAAAAAAAGTCTTAAAGGGACACACACATGCCTGTAAGTGCTAAATATCTTAACTTGTCAGTTTAAAAGGGGAGGGAGAGGTCAAATTTGAAGCTTATTTACTTCACCTTTTTGTTTTCTAGATCTCAGCCATGTATTCATCAGTAAATAAACCTGGACAGTCAGGGAATAAATCAGGACAGACCCTTAAGGCACCAGAGTCTGCCTACACCTCCATCCAAAGAGCCACTCAGAGATCCCCCTCTTCCTGTAATGATCTCTATGCTACTGTTAAAGACTTTGAGAAAACCCCAAACAGTGTCAGCACGCTTCCACCAGCAGCGAGACCCGGTGAGGAGCCTGAGCCTGATTATGAAGCAATACAAACTCTGAACAGAGAGGAAGAAAAGGCCACCCCAGAGACCAACGGCCAGCGCGGCCTTTTCCCAAAGGAGAATGACTATGAGAGCATTGGGGACTTGCAGCAAGGCAGGGATATCACCAGGCTCTAGCCGCCCAGAAGGCAACCCCAGATGGCATTCGATCAGCTGCTGGGGGCACTTCTTCTGTGGAAGACAAAGGCGGTATCAACCCCTACTTCATATGCTGCTCTAGGAATCTGAAGACAATGGAAGACGTGGGGACTGATTGCCAGGGTTGGAAACAGTGAGGTACATACCCGACGGCACCCGAGCGTGCCCCTGCTTGCCGGGGGCACTGGCACACCCAAGCACATCTCCCTTCTGCACCCTCACCCTCTGGAAAGATCCCAGCCACCAGTAGTTTTGTCCTGTGCGCAGGGGGAAAGCCAAGATGCAGGGAAGAACTGCACTCATCAAGAACCACGACTCCGCCTGCCCCGGATACTGCCATTCACAAGAGCCAGGTTTTTCGTCCTTTCTTTCCCTTTTGGTCTCCGCTCCTCACCTTTAAATGTATGGCTTTCTCCCCCCTTGAAATCTTCCAACTTCTAATGGTTCATTCCAAGAAAATTCTCCCACAAGGCCTGGCCTTTGCCTTCAACTTTGGTGTCTCAAGATGGTAAAAAAAAAAAAAAAGACTGTGGTTGCTGGTTACCATCAGCTCACCAGTCCTCTTCTGAGAATCACACCTGGAAAAAGGAGCCCTGCAGGTGGATAGGACTGGGGCTGCCCCTCGAGCTTCTTAGGGCTTTATACCTTCTGGTTTGGGCAGTCCACATCAGCAACCTCTCCCAAAGTACTTGAAGTCATTTTTAGATGCTTTATTTTATTTTTCTAGTCAAAAGGTGCCCCCCCACCCCAGTATTGGAAACTCTTCAGAGCCTTTTCAGTATTTTCAACAAATATTGTGGTACTTCTATACTTGTTTTAGCCCAGAGCCCATTCCTCTGAAACAGAGAGCCTTAATCTCTATGTTGGGACACAGACCACATATTTGGACGACAGCCATGGCGTCCGTCTCTGAAGGGCTGTGGACTTGAATGTGTATTTCTGATGATCCCTCTGCCACACCAACAGTGTGAGATTTCATAAGTTAACTTGCTACCCTAAGGTAATCTATCTAAAATCAAAATGTAAACATTTATTTTTGTTATATAAATTTATAAGATGTTTTATGTTTAACGCCTAATTTCTAGAAAGTGCCAGAAAAAAATGTATATTAACTATTTTGATTTTATGTACAATGATTTATACTCTCATTTTGAAAAAACACCATAAAGCACATAAGCTAGATAATTACACATAGTTGTTAATCTGTTTTCTAATCAAGTGTTTAAAATATTGTAGGTTTTTAAAGACTTAACTTTTCAAATGGTACTTGGAGCCCTGGTCAAAGTCATCTGGCTCACTAGAGAATAAGTGGAATGAACATAAATGAGCATTTTCAGTGATTTGTGGTGGGCAATACTGAAATATTTGAAATGGTAAAGAAAAAATAGAAGAATGAAATAAGACTAGGGATAACTGTATTATTAACCTCATGAAAGTATTATAATTCCATTAAGATTTAGTTACAGCTTTAAGAAAATTTATACTGATGGATTCTGCAATCCAGTGCTTGCAAATGCAAATTGCCTATTGAGATTCTTTTCCTCTTCATTTTACAAAAATCAGTGGCTAAAATAACTCCGATTAAGAGTTCAGCCTGGTTTGAATTTTATCATCTCTTTAGATTTTTAGAAGGCCAACATTGGGAAATTTGTTCACTTTTCCTGTGAAAAGGACCCTGCTACTACGCAGTGTGGCTATAGAAAGGGACCCTTGCCTACACTGATAGAGGAAAAAAAAAAGAGGCAATTCTTCTACTGTGATATCCTTGGGTTTTCAGGTCGAATAATCTCACAGTTTTCACCCATTGTGACAAAGGATGCGATTTGGAGGATGAAGCATCTTGAAAATGGTAGGAACCAGCTCATTGGCATGTCTCTTCCATCCCTTGCATTCATGGCTTGATCCTATGACTGCTAAGTAATAACGTTTCTGAAATTGTCAAGTGAGCTTTGTTGGGGTCAGCTGGTTGGTTGTCATTATTTTGCAGTCAGCCTAGCCTCTCCCATGAGGACCTCACGAGCCTAAGCACAATCGTCCTAGATGGTAATAATAGAATACCTTTGGGTGGGGGGAACGGTTATCGGGAAGGCGCCAAGGTCTTTGCTCTTTGAATTCACATCTTTCATAAGCACTGTTTTGCCTGGTGATTTTCATTGTTTGCTTAGTATTGAGTTTGACCCAACAATCTCTATACCGTGAGGTTCCTTTAGCACCGGGTGATCTGTGTCACATCGCATACCTACTGTTGTGCTTGCTGCAATAATGTCCTTTCCGAGCGCCTGACCACTCAAAAGTTTTCTTGTATTTCATAGTGTCTTTACTTATTGCCAGGGAAGTGGGTATGATCTCTAAAGTGTAAAATCATTTCTAGAGAGAAAAGTTCTTTATAAATTACTCATGTCATCCTGAAATTTCACTATCAGAATTTCCCCCAGAAGTTCTGAAATAAAGGCTATGCAGTATAGCCATAAAATATGCACTGAAATATCTTGATTTGAGAATCTGCGCTGAGTTGTGATTTAAAGTATCAAAAGTGTATTTTAAAAGAAACTAGAAGGCCCTCTAGTAGAGATGCTAAAAGAAAAATTAATAGCACAATCCATGAGAGTTGGGGGAGGGAGAAACAGTAAACTTTAGGAGCTGGCTCTGCTCTTTAGACCATTGGGTACTCAACTGAAGTATATTTATTGATGCATCATCATGGTTTTGACCTTACAGTACAATATTTCATAAATTGCATCACTTTTACTTTATTTGTTGAAAATCTATGCTAGTCTTTGAGTTGGACAAAAGCCTATAGCTTCTTTTAAAAAATTTCATGTTCAGCTAAATGTTAAGAGTTTAAATGTATGAAACATAATTATAAACACATTTTTACTGTTCAACTTTGACATCCATATTATGCATTGTTATAATTTAGGTTTGCGAAACTATACAAATAAAGTAAGTTTTAGGGATTTTTTTGTCTTATAAGTCAGAATTATAAACTCACCTTGCCTAAAAGTAGAATCTTTGTTTTTTAGTCAGATATTTTGAAAGTTTAGAAGAATTTTTTATGCTGCTTTTACTATTTCTCAAATGCAGTCAGCAGGAAAGTATGACCTTTGTCATACTTTTATGTGAAATGTCTGAGGACATTTTAAATTATAGAAAAAAGTAATTTTTGCAAGTATGTGGGCCACATTTTTTTTTCCGGTGCTGCACTAAGTTGCATCATTAGGTCTATTAAAGCTTTTGAAAATACTGCCGTCCTTTATGGGGAAAAGGCTAATTACTGATTTTTCTGCCCTCAAAATCCAAGAGTTAATTCCAATTGAGTGCTAACAATAGGTAGTCAGCACAGAACTAAAATTTACCTCAAGATGTCACTGTGTCTATTTCTCATATTAGATTCTCATTTTTCTAATTAAAGCATTTATTTAGCCAGTAACAAACTATGTCTGTATATGTGTGTGTGTGTGTATACACTATACATTCATATAGATTTAAATATATACATACACATATATATAAAGTTCTGGTTCTTAATTAGTGATGATACGTCCTATTATGTATTTGGAATGTCTACCCTACTAGTGTGATGACCATTGTCATAAAAGCAGAATTAAAAAAAAAAGCCAATAGTTTTCCTTTAGTAATTATAAGAAAACCCTCTTAAGTTGCCCTCATGTCATTCTTCTAATTAATAAATTCAGCTTCTAAATTGTGTCCATAATTTCTTAGCTGACAAACAGTGGTGTTTGAAGATCGTTTTCTTCTCTGGGTGGCTCATTATGTGCCCAACATGCCAGGAGGAAAGGTAAACAGGTGCCCCTCGCAGGTGCTGTTGAGAAGAGATCTGGCCCAAAAGCAAGCAGGAGCCACGCGGGCCGGGATGGAGCCGAGGCCAGGTGACCCCCTCAGCTGGTGGCAGGAGCGGTGGCCTGTCATCACATGGTTGCATTTTAGTTCATTCTCTTTGGAAGCCACAGGAGTTTAGCAGTGACATCGCGTGCCCGACAGAAGGCAGCTCGAGACAGGGACGTGGATGACCTCAGAGCTGCAGCTCGAGACTCAAGTAGGATTTTGTAAATGAGTAAATGACATTTTTTCCCCCTGGGTTCCTTGTACTAGTCGATGAGTCCCTGTGATCTAGTGATGCCATTCTTCGGAAAGTGTCGCCTCCGGCACCTGGCCAGCTTCATCTGGGCTGCTGGAAGCACAGTAGGTACGGATGGTTCTTTCCTGGAAATCTTGACAGGCTTATTGTACTGTGTAATTGGGCAAAGTTAAAGTGTAATGTAGGTGTTAATAAGTGACTGATGTGAAAAATAGGAACATGTGTCTCTAATATCAAATATGGCTTTTTGGGGGGGCAGTGAAATCTATATTCCTCGTCCTGTGGTAGTATTTTCTTGCTCTGTGTTGTACCTTTTCTTAAACACATTATTCTTGACAGTGGCATTGGACAAGTTGAACACAATAGAAAGTGCTTGACTTAAAGACATCAGTTGAGAAACCGTGATAAATTAGTCTTTGTCTGCAAGTATGAAAGTAAATTTAAAAAACCGTGGTCCAGAAGAGAACAAATATTCATAAGTAGGGTTTTTTTTTCCTACTGCTCATTTTTAAGTATGTTTACATCCGGTCTCTGAGAGCTATAAAGTCTGCATTGTTTTCCCAGGTTCTTCTTTATTTAACTAAGAAATCGTAGTTCAGATTCCTCTTGATGCCAGATGGAATGAGAAATGTTACAATTTTTGTTAAAAGGGCAATTTTTTAAGCATTCAATTTGGTAATCATGTATCTTATGTATTTAAATTAGATTTTTCTTTGTTCACCACTTATATGCTATGGGTATTTTTTTAAAAATGTATTATGCTCTGGATGTCTCAGATCACCTTATGTAATGGATTATAAAGGCTGGTAACGGTCATTCCTCAAACCTTCTGTGTATGATATTGGCAACAGTTTTAATGTTGCTACCTTTTAAATATCATGTATTATTAATGCACCTCATGTTTTCAGGGAAAGCTTGAAATCTAGCTAAACAAATAGGAATTTGCATTTCATCATTCATGCATTTTTTTCCTCATAAAAATAGTTTCTCAAAAAAGTGACATATTGTCTCTTAGGTGGTCCCGACCAGTTTCAAAGCTCTCCTCTCGCTCAAAAAATAATCCATGACAGTGGCATTTTGCCTCTTCAGTCTCAAAGTCTTTGTTGTGATCAAACCATCCAATCCACAAAAGAGTGGGAAAGTTGTTTCCAATACTGGGAATTTTTAAACCCTCAAGTCTGAAAATATCTCTTATTGGCTTCAATATCTTCAATTTTCCCCCTTCCTTACTCTAGTCCCTCTAAGGAGCAAGCCTAAAGCGTGGGGTCATGAAGCCACTATTTCTTCCAGTCTCACTTTGGTTCCTCCTGCACAGGTGACCTTCCACCACTCTGCATAGCACCACCCCTGTTCCTCTTCCCCACCGGAGCCGCTCTCTGCTATTCATAGGACATCCCAACACATCTTTTCCAACAGGGACACTATCCTCAGATCACAGATCTTGCCTGTCAGCATAGAAGCATGCCCCAACACCGTCCCACTCCCCCACCCCCCCATGAGCAAACAGCTCTGCCCAACTCACATTTTCCTGTGTCACAGGCTGCCAAGAGATAAGGCCACAGGTCCGCCTAGGGAAGCATTTGTCGTGGGCTTTGCTAAACCATGTTCATTCTTACCCACATCCTTCATGAGAATGGTGGGCACTTGGCAGCTGTGGGAGAGAATGTCAGAAAGTTCTACTGAGGACTCCAGCGCACAGTTACAGGAAAATTTGCCCCACACTCACTGGGTAAGCTCACTGCACCCCCCCACACACAATATATTGAGACTGCCTGGTGTCTCCTAAGTTCCAGGGTAGTTAAATCCTTGGAATAACCCACCAGTACTTCATTGTAAAGTAGGAGGATGCTGACTCTTTTGAGGAAAAACTCTTTCTTAAAAAATTCATCCCTTATAAAATAAGCTGAGTGTGACTTCTTTTAGCCATGGAGCCATTGTCCCCGTTCCCTCGGGAAACAGTGCCTCTGAATTGAATGTTCAAGCATCTAGCTGTGGAGTTACCAAAGAATAATTGAATAATTTGGCCATTTGTAGGCAGACTGTCTGACATTTGAAGCAAGAACCCAGATCCCTTTTAAGCACTCGCATAGGTGGATGGGTGATGCAGTGGCTCATGGTCTCACTTTCTATGCAGCTAAGGATCCAAGATGTGTTTAGTTTTTTGGTTTTTTTTTTTTTTTTAACTTCACTCTCTAAGTCATCATAGCTAATTATTTGGGTGGCTATTCTTGAGTGTAATCCCCCCCCCCAAGATAATAGAACTGGCATTTGCTCATTCTCTTCACACATTTAATTTTCAGCAGTTCACCTAGTGTACCAGTTAGGGACCCTCACTAGGACAGTTAAGGCTAAAAGAAAGACCAGTCCTGGCCCCAGAGCCTACAATCTAACTATACTATCTGGGTTTTTTTGTTTGCTAAAACCAAAAGCCAAGTCTGTCTCTGAATATTCATTTGACACATTTTTATCTATTTTTAATGTAAAACCCATAAATGAATCTGACATGATCTTCATGACTTATCCTCTAGGCCTGCTTGCCTTTATTTTATTTTGGAACTTATTTTTTGAATATAGGCTTTTCTTGTTATTTCCCAGAGCCATCCTAGAAACGATTCTGATGGGCTACTCCATGACTGCCTCCTGGTGTCCTGGAATTTTGGCAGCAGTGTTAGCAGGGCTTACCTCTTAGGGAGAAGCATCTGAAAAATGCCAGATAAGCTGAGTTTTATGTACAAGTCAACAAGCATTTGAGAAACGCTTTATGCCTCAGATTTTGACATTTAAATTTTTTTTTTCCAAGTACCAGCTACTATTTGATTTGGAGGGGTTGGCGAGCAGGACAGGGATTAGACATATAATATGAACTAAGTGGCATAGGCAAGACTTCCCACCCCTATGTCTCCATGTGCTTGTGTCTCTGGAAAATATATTGTCCCCGCTCCCTGTCTACCACTTTGAGTTGCTTAAGGAGCAAACTGTAAGTGTGTAGAAATGACAAAGCTGACCTCAAAGACATAAGTTATTTTTAGATATTTTCTTTGTAAACCCAGGAATAAGCCTGGTTTATGAATTGCATAATATGGCTACTACAGCTATAATCTGGAGGTAACTAGATACATCCTTTCAAATATGTTTCCCTTACAAACCTAACTTTGTTGTAACTGGGAAAAGAAACTCCTTGTTAAAAAAAAAAAAAATCCAACAAAAAGACTTCAGTAAAAGAATGTGGCATCAGTCTATCCTCTGTCCCACAGTGCTTGTTTCTTGCCTATAATATAGTTTTCAACAATTTTTATGGGAGAAAAAAATGCACATTTTTTTCTTGGAAAAGTGAATTGAGGTATTGAATTAAATTCTCCGAAAGGACAACTTAAAGAGAAACATGGGATTTAGAGATGAGCTCACAGCTCTGTGGTCACTGTTCCAGCATTGACTTTACTGTGTGACCTTGAACAAATGATTTAACGACTCTGTGCCTCAATTTCTCCATGTACAAAATGGGGATCATGATACCAACCATTGCCTACCTCATATGGATGTTATGGGGACAAATAAGATAATATAAATACAAATGCTTTGATCTCTGGAAGAAAGGTGCTATATAAATTAAAGTTGTGTTGTTTTTAATGATCCAATTATTATGTTAGGGTTTAAATAATAGCAATACTGTTAGCCATGTTAAGAATAAGTTTCAATTCACCACATAATTACAATTCTCTTCTGTGGCCAAATCTTGATCGTTCATCCAGTAATGGTACGTAAGGAACTGAAATGGGTATTTTTTTCTGTGTGTTTCTGCCCAATAGTATTTCTATTCTAAATGTTCCCAAAAGGCTGGAGTTTAACTTGTAATATCTTATAGTTTACATGTAATGAACCTTATTCAAGCTGTGTACAAAAATATGATTACATGTAAATAGCAGGTACATTGTAATTAAAGGCACTTATCAAATCATCTTTGTTCTTTTTAAATTGCAATAAAAGTCCATTTTATATTATAAAAGCTTGTTAAAATCCATTTGGTGTTTGGGACTGTCAAGAATGTTACCTTATGTGCCTCGGTGCATACCCAGGGTTTCGGGATTTTAGCAGTCAGTTCCCCATAGTGACAGGAAGGAGCAGGTGCCTGATGACCAGGCTGCAGAGTGTCGTGGTTAGAATTGCAAACTGCAGAAAAGGACCCAAGTTTGAGTCCCAGCTCCACGGGCACTTTGTGGGACTTACCCAGACCCATTTCCACATACAAAGTGAAGGCTAATAGTATAGAACCTACACACAGGGTTGTCTTGGGGATTAAATGAGGTTTGGGGCACGCTACCCAGCACACGCTATAAATCAATGCCAACAGGCCATCCTCACAAGCCTGGGAAATTTTTGACGATGTCTACCCAACACTGGCAGCCACTCTTGTGAAAAAATGCAACCAGAGAGCAAATAGTGCCCCAGGCTATGGGGAACCCCACTCACCTGGTGGCTGAGGGAGGCGTAACCCCAGCAGAGCAAACAGCATCCTATCAGCAACCCTGGCTGTCCCCTTCCTGACAACTGGAGACTGGCCTTTGGGCCAAAAGGTGAAGGAAGGGTTTTCTTTGGCAAGCTCTGGATTCCTTGATGTCTGTGCCCTTTAACCCTGGATATTCCCAAAGCCACACGGTGCATGTTACTAGGCCTCCCCCACATGTACAACCTGGCCCTCCTCTCTCGAGCTTTCCACTGCTCCCTCCTTCTGCTCCACCCCACCTGCACAATGCCAGACACCCTGGCCCCATTGCCCCACCTGCACAATGCCAGATACCCTGTCCCCATCACCCCACCTGCACAATGACAAATATCCTGTCCCCAATTCCCACAGGGCAGCTCTGTTCCTAAGGAACCAAGTCCTCCCTGTCACAGGTTACTGTGCCCACTGCTCCTAGGACTATTGGTGATTTAAGGAGCTTGCTGCCCAGCACAGTCTTGAGACCAAACTTTAATTCTCACTGTGGGCACTGCACACCCGTGAGAGGCTGCTGGGAGCTGGGGGATGAGGGCAGGCACAGGAGGGAACAGAGGGCATTCTGCTGCCTACACCTCATCAGCAAATGCTGGCTGTGCCTTCGCAAGGCCCCGCCTGCTTCCCTCCACCCGCCGCCCTGCCCCAGGCTCCCTCTCCACCTGGGCTTTCTTGTGGGGGGTGCAGGGCAGTGATGGCAACCTTGGAGCAAAGGCAGGCAGAGCCTGGCCATCTTAGTTTCAAGCCCCCATTTCATTTCTCACCACGTGGGGAGAATTTCCTCCCCTGGAGTTAATAGTCCCAACTCAACTCTGTGTGCAAAGGGTTGGAGCTAAAAGGGGCGCCTGGGTGGTGCAGTCAGGTAAGCTCAACTCTTGATTTCAGCCCAGGTCATGATCACAGGGTTGTGACTCTTGATTTCAGCTCAGGTCATGACCACAGGGTTGTGAGATGGAGCCCCTCCCCCCACCCCCCTCACTGGACTTATGCGCTAGGCAGGGAGTCTGCTGGAGATTCTCTTCCCCACCCATGCATGCTCGCTCACTCTCCCTCTCTTTCTCTCTACAAACAAAACAAAAAACAACAAAAAAACAAAAATTTGTTCTGAGTCCCCGGATTTCCCACCAGGGCTACCTGAGGAAATGGAAGTTCCAGAGCTCAGCAGTCTGGTAGAGTTCCCGTCACCTGTGGAATAGACTGGCCTCAGCAACTCTGTCTCAGATACGCTGCCAATTCTAGGACCAACTCATAGAACATATTTAACAAGTATTCGTTATGGGAAGTGGAGAATTCTGAGACCCTAGTTAAGGTGAGCAAGACATACTGTACCCTTTTTTGTCTTTTTTTTTAAGAGTTTATTTATTCATGGGAGACACAGAGGCAGAGGCAGACACAGGCAGAGGGAGAATGCAGGCTCCCTGCAAGGATCCCGATGTAGGACTCGATCCCAGGTCCCCAGGATCATACCCTGGGCTGAAGGGAGGCGCTCAACCACTGAGCCACCCAGGTGGCCGTTGTCATTGTTTAAAAAAAAAAAAAGATCATCGGTCCATCTATCTACTTCTATAAATACAATCTGCACTATGTTTCTTTTTATTTTTGTTAGTGACCCAGGACCTTCCTGTTCCTTTAAGGTCACCATTACAAATATTTGCTCTTATCCTAGACAATTCTTAAAATCTCAAAGCTGTCCTTTGGATGCTCTAAAGCCAACTGTCTACCAGGCATCACATGTTCCCAAGATTTCTCCATCTGTATGCCCTGATGTCATCTCAAAATGTGATCATCCTGGAGCAGAAGGCATCTTTCCCAGCTGCCTTATTCGCCCTTAGGGGCACATTTTAGCTTTGAAGTGACCCCATAGCATATAGCACAGTTTTCCGCACACAGCAAGCACAAAATAAATGTTTGATCTGACTTGAATTCTCACACTTCTCTATCAACCATAGTCCAATGAGCCTCTCTGCAAATCTAAGTTTCTGAAAAGGTGGCAGAGTGACAAAGTAGGGTGACCTCCAAGGGGGACTGGCCGAGAAAGCAGTGGCCAAAACATCTGACATGTAGATGAGCAGCATTACAAGCTAGCAGAATTATCTTCTAAAGCAGACAAGTCATTCAAAGCAAATTGCTTTAAATGCTCAGGCCCAAGATTTATTTTTTTTTAATTTTTTTTTATTTATTTACGATAGTCATACAGAGAGAGAGAGAGAGAGAGGCAGAGACACAGGCAGAGGGAGAAGCAGGCTCCATGCACCGGGAGCCTGATGTGAGATTCGATCCCGGGTCTCCAGGATCGCGTCCTGGGCCAAAGGCAGGCGCCAAACCGCTGCGCCACCCAGGGATCCCAGGCCCAAGATTTAAAAAAAAAAAAAAAAAAAAAAAGGTGCAACCTCAAAGAAAACAAGTTAAAGGGAAAACAAAAGAACCCAGGGGAAAAACCATTCTCTATGACTCACTCAGAAAATATTTACTGAGCACTTATTATGTGCCACCAGCTGCCAAAACATAGTGACAATCAAAAAACAACTCCTGCCTGGCAGGAGCTCACCTTGATGGCCTCAGCGCTTACCTTGAAATGCCCCACATACACATTTAAATTCTCCAGGTGCTCCTAACTGGATACCTTAGCCAGTTGTACCAAGTCTCTGGAGATCTGTTCCAGATGCAGGGGTCCAGAAAGGCCTCTGTGAACAGGTTACAGCTCAGATGAGAACAAAAAAAATAATAATTAAAATGTAAACTAAACTAAAATAAATAAATAAATAAAATAAAATAAAATAAAATAAAATAATAAAATAAATAAGCCAGAGAAAAAGCCTTCCAGGCACTGACCACAGCCACTGCCAAGACTCCAAGCCAAACAAACCCAGCTGTCCTCCCAGAGGTCAACATAAATCCATACAGCCTGCCAGGCCTCCTGGATTTCTCTCTCCCCCTCATTCTTGCCCTTGTCCCGCCAGTTCCCATCCTAAATTTTCTGATACCTTGAACCAAACATTCATACACTCAGCAGAATAATCCTTCTCAAAACAAGCCTGTTTTGGTCAGAAGAAAATGACAGACTACCTCATAAAATCATTATTAAGAACCTACTGTTTCTTAGGCACTATTCTAGATTCTGAGGATACAGCACTATATAAAACAGGCAAGGCCTGCTGTTCCGATGAAGCTTACCTTTCAGTGGGAGAAGAAAAGAAATGATTTAGCCAAACAAATTTCAGATCACAGATATGATGAAGAAAATAAACAAGATGGAATAAAAAAACTAAAATGGTGATGAAATAGCGCCTGGGTTTGGGGGGGGGGAGGGAGAGGGGATGATATGTTTTCTATTGGGTGGTCAGGGAAGGCCTGAATGACCTGGAGCAGCCATATAATACTTGGGGGAGGGGAACATTCCAGGAGGAGAAAAGAGCAAGAGCAAGGGGAGGTAAAGAGTCTGGTATGTTCCAGGATCACAAAGGAGGCAAGGGCGGCAACAGCACTGCAGTGGAGAGTAATGAAAAGGGATTTCTGGAAAGCAGGTGGGGGCCTGATCATCTACAGCAAAGTAGATTAAGATCAATTGTACTGTGGTTCTAGGAGCAAAGAGAAACCACTGAAAAAGTATAAACAAGGACTCAGTGACAATTCGTTTTCCATATGAAAAATAACAGGACCTTGGATTCCCAACTTACACCATAAATGAAAATCAATTTCAGGGGCACCTGGATGGCTCAGTCGGTTAAGCATCTGCCTTTGGCTTAGATCATGATCCCAGGGTCCTGGGATGGAGCCCCATGTTAGGGTCCCAGCTCAGCAGGGAGCCTGCTTCCCCTCTGCCCCTCCCCCTACATGTGTGCATGCTCTCTCTCTCTCTCTCTCTCTCTCTCTCTCTCTCAGATAAATAAATAAAATATTTTAACAAATAAATTTCAGATTGATTAGAGATAAAAACAGAGTAGTAGAAACTTGCAACTTATCACATTTAATTCTACATCCACTTCATTGTATTGGTCTATTTAATCTCCAAAACAACCCCATGAGTTAAATACCTTTAAATATTCTTATTTGCACAAATTATCAAACTAAAGCACAGGATAGTAAACGAAGTTGCCCAGCTGTTAGCGGCCAAGATGGAATCTGAATTCAGATTCTGCTGCATTGTAAGCCTGAGTTTTGTTTTGTTTTTTAAAGATGTTATTTATTTATTTGAAAGAGAGAGCGTGAGCAAGGGGGGAGAGAGAGAAGCAGGCTCCCCACTAAGCAGGGAGCCGGATGTGAGGCTCGATCCCAGGACCCTGGGATCATGACCTGAGATGCTTAACGGAGTGAGCCACCCAGGTGCCCCTAGGCCTGAGTACTTAATCATCATTGTGTTCCGGGAGATTTTATTATGGTTTAGAACCAAAGGATGTCTTGGGCAATGCACAAAAAGCACAAATCATAAATAAATATGGATATATTTGACTTCATACGTTTACACAATTTCTTTTTTTTTTTTTTTAATTTTTATTTATTTATGATAGTCA